TCACAAAGCCTTAAAAAATATTATCTTTGTGTGCTCTGTTATATTCCTGCTTGAGTTTTCAGCCCATCTGATTTGTCCGGCTCTTGTCACTTTGCATCTCTCATCATTAAAAAACACAGTAACCAAATCTAATGGATAAAGGAATAGAAAAGGCACCCAAAGATTTGGGATCCCATCTAGTTTTTCTAGGGATAAATAAAATTTCCCTTTCCCAGAGCTGGCAGAGCATCCTGGGGCTGAGGATTGGTAGGACCTGTTAGTGTCACCTGCCTGCTTTCAAAAGCTTTCTGAAGAATAACAAAATTGAGGCAGAAAAAGGAACTTAAAAAGTGTTCAAAAAGAGCAATTTCTATTTTTTTCATGAGTGTGGCTTAAAATCAAGTGTGCTGGGAAAAGTTTAGGAGAAGGCCACTGAAAATGAACAATATTGTTAAAATAAATGTTATTTCCACACAAACACAGTCATCCCAGAGCTGATCCAGCACTTTTCCTGACACCACACTATGCTTTCCTGCTGAATCCAATCTGCCCATCTCTCTTTGTCTAACTGTGGTGATATCTGGTATTTCATCAAGTGAATTTGAGGCTATGAATTGATATTCAACTGCCAATACACTTAAATGCAAGAATAAGCTGAAAAGGCCCCAGGTCAAGGTGGAGGAAGGAATTCAACCTCAAAGTGTAAATCATGAACGTTGATTTTGGAATCTGTTCTTTCTTATAACCCAAATATTTTATTAGGCTTGATTTATTCAGACAGCAGGAGTAGTAAGTCTCCTTCTTCCCTTCATGGTAGTACAAGGATTTTTCAGGGTATGATTAAAATGTTGCTCTGTCAAGGCTCAAATGTATGAAAAAGAAAAGTATTCTATGGAATATCTTAATGGCTTAAAAATGAATGGCTGGGATATTTGATCAAACTTACTTGATACCCAAATTCAGCCATGAAAAAGACTTTGTGAGCAGGATCTTCACAGACTATGTCAATATATGGCAGATTCCTAAAAATGACCCTATTCCCTGGGATCCAGAAGAGAAATTGGAGTCTAAGAGCAGCACCAGCTCCAAGGCTCACAGGAGAAATGTGTGTTCCTGTCTCCTGCTGAATCCTCCACATCTCCATTCCCTGTTTATATTCAAAAATAGAAATGCCTGTAATTTTCCAGGAAAAATGGTCACTAATCACTGATGTTTATTTTTAGCCAGGATGTGAAATAGGAAGTGTCCAGAGATCTGGAAAATTGCATCCACTCCTGCTGGGGATGGTGGTGGGCTGGGAAACCCCTGGGCTGACTGACAGTGTCCTTTGGTTACTGAGAAATGCAGAAATCAAGGATTTCACACTCTTGGGATGTTTTGAAAGAGTCACTTTCTCTCTCTAACATCTTTTCTTTTGTCCTTACATGACATTAAGGATTTTTCTTTGCTTTCATCCCTCCAGTTCTCCCTCCCATCCCTCTGTAGGGGAAGAGGGCAGCAGTTCTGTGGGGTTTAGCTGCTGGCTGGGGTTAAACCATGACAGAAACAGAAAATGCTCCTAAGTGCATATTTTTAATTTTCCTATCAGTACTTTTATTCCTCACACAATAATAAAACCCAGATCACTAAGGTCAAAGTTTGGGCTTGAAGGCCCCTCATGAGAAGCAGCTCTGGCACCTCTCAGTCCCTCCCAGGCAGAAAAACACCAGGAAAAACAAGATTTCCTCCAGTTTTGTTGACTCCACTTCATCTCCTTTCCTCTGCAGTCTGCTCTCCCCTCCCTTGTGCTTTTGTACTTCAGCACATTAGAATATTAGGTCAAACACCCTCACTAAAAAATATGCTGTACAATATTTCTCATTTTTGCTTGATTTTTCTCTTCATCTTCTGGAGACATCAATGGTAATTTTCCCCACAGAGATTTGCCCTTTGATCATGCCAGAGTTTCCTACAAACATTTTGTTAAAACGGGGCTTCCCCAGCTCCTTTTAAATGTTTGCTGTGCTGGGAGAAATAAAGGATCACTTATTAACTTTGGAAATATTGAGCATTTTTATTACTTCCCCCACTGCTTGCACACTCTGAATAATGGGATACAGAGCCTTAGGTGTGTCTGCTCTGGATAATGAGCAAAAGGTCACACAGAGGGTTAATCCTGATCTGATCTTTTACTAACACAGAAATTGCTGGGTTGTATTGTTTTTCCCAATATGGTGGTTTGGATCCTCGTGGTGGGAGCAGAGGGAGGGATTATTTGCTGTTTGCTGTGGAAACCACTTGAAATTCAATCTGTGGGGTAATCTAATTATAGTGTGAATGATGATCAGAGTAGGTGACAGGACTGTCTTCCACAAACTTAAACCTGAATGTACCTTATGCTGTCTAATTTTAGGAGCTGCAGTGACAGGAACAGTGTTTTGCAGAGCAGGTTATTGAGATTTATATATAAATATATATACATAAAAGTTATATACATGAAAATTAAATATATACCTGAAAATGAAATATATACATAATCCAGTGGAAACCAATAGCTCAAAGAAATGTAAATATCGCTCTGCAAAATCAAATATAGACCTGAATTTCTCTTTTTCCACTAAGAAATAGTTGTGTTCAGTGGCAGGGTGTGCTGTCTCTGGTGGAAGACCCTGCTGCAGGCTCCTTTAGGGCAGGATGGGGAGCTGCAGGGTGGAACAAGGAACTTTCACTCAGTTTGCTCTCCACCAACACCAGCCCCAAAGGAACGGTGTCACAGCACATCTTCATGGTGCAGGAAGTGTTCCCAGGCCTGTCCCAATATCAGAATTCATCTTGGGAATCTATCAGATGCATTTTTGGCATTGATAAATCAACCTCCCAGCTCAATTCCAGACTGAACCCCACTGAAGGGTTTGCTCTGCATCACAGCCCTCCCCACCAAACTCACACAGAGGGGTGTGCTCAGGCTCTCAGCAGAGAGGGAGGCAGGAAGAGCTCGTGGATTAAATTTTGGATTGAATTGTACAATAATTAAAGCTGTATAAAAGCATTATGCAGTGATGAGTGCAGCTATTGGTACAGCTATTTTCTGAGTTTTAATATGCTCATCTCTTCTGGTAAGAGAAATATTTATTACAAGCTCCAGCATATAAAGGGGATGGGAGTTGTTAAGGTAATTCATCCTCCTAAAAAATCAAGGCAACCAATCAATCAGTCAATCAATCACACTCATTGATAAGTAAATCTGTTAAAAAAGGGATACACATAAAAATAAGCAGTGAGTTCACCATGGAGGATGAGGGGAAGGGACAAGACAGGGCTGGGGATTGGTAGCCACCAATTTTGGGGTGTTCTGGAGCTGGAGAGAGCCCAGGCAGGGGGGAACGTGGATCTGGGATGGATGGTGGAGCCTTTGACAAACAGCAGCCCAAGATAACACCACGAAGCACAAACAGCGCTTGCCTTGGATGGAGAAACAGGGAATGTCAGGTTGAATTGGGAGGCAGAGGTGACACCTGGAATTACAGCTCTGTGAGGATGACAGTGTTTAATTCTGGCAGGGAAAGTTCCAACAAGGTGTGGATGAATCACAGGTTTAAAGGCGGAGAGTTATAATTTGAGAAAAAGAACATTAGTGCAAGTCTCAAGGGTATGACCCTGCTTGTTTACCAAACAATTTACAAAAACAGGAATAAGGATTATTTTAATAGATCCTTAATAATCAACCTCTATATGGAACAAAAATAATAAAATGAATCTTACAAATTGTCAAACAAAATGTAAAACCTGGAAAATGCAGAGTTAGAATAGGCAAAATCAGTCTGGAAACACTTACTTTTATAATGTAACATTTTAAGTGGAATTAAGGTTTAAAACAACCTAACAATGTTTGTTCTGGATTTTTAATCAGTGGAAACATTTTTAATCAGTGGGAACATTTCAGTCCTACCTGTGTTTTGTGTTATGTACAAGGTTGGGTGGACTAAATGAGCACAGTGGTCCCCTCTGGTTTCTAATCTATTTAAAAAATTAATTAGATCCTGTTCCAATGTTGATTTCAGCCTTTACAAATCTATATATCCTTGACAAATCAAACAAAGGGTCCACCTTAGAAAGAATTAATTCAGGATTTTAACACTGAAGTTAAAGAAATGTTTATAGAGTGTGAGTTGACTGCTTGGTTGTGTGTTCTCCAAGGAACAGATTTTCGTATGTATAATTTTCTCAGGAGAGAGCACAAACCAAACTTCTGTAAAAAGATACCTCCCCTTCCCACCAGGCTTGGGACTAATCCTACATGATTGTTGTGGTGGGGGCTGTTTTTGTTACTGCTCTGAAACATTTTCATTTCAAATTGAGCATCTCATCGACAGTCCCCAGCCCTGCCGAGAGGAGCAAGGGCTGCCTCACTCCTCCTGACTCCAGCTGGAGAGAGGGGTTGGATTTAATCCATATCAACACCCAAATGAAATATTCCTATTTGCTCCTTGTGCAGGCTGGGCCATATTTCACTTCAAAATGAGTGGACTGGAACTGAAGAGTGATTTGTTGTGGGCCAGCACACAGGGAGGAGAGGCTTTCTGAAATCCCAATCTCTTCATCGTGTGAACACAGCACACCTCCCTGTTATATACCTGAATGTTCTCAGCAAATTACATCCTCAAGGAAATTGGGCTTTTTTCCTCCTACTTCTACTGCTGCAAGTCTTTTCTAGTGTTTGAAATATTTTGTTTCTAACCCTTGAAACCATTACCTGCCTTTGGAACAACTGCTGCCCTGGCAAAGAAATGTTTTGTATTTGCTTTTATGGGTGGATAAATATTGATCCCTTAAGCTTGTCCAATACAGGGATCAACACATCAACAGTTTGTTTTATTGAAACAGTGCTTTTGTCAGAGCTAAAATAAGAATTCTGGATAACTGAACAATTAATCTGTTTCCATCATTCCAGCCAGGCTCCAAAGCAGCACTGGAACAGCCAAGCTTCTCCCCCCGCTGAAACAACATCCAATCAACCAACCAAACTTCTAGAGTAAACTCACCCAGTTTTGGCAAAAGTTGCCCAGTGTCTCATCATAGAGCGGCTCAGGAGCTCCTCAGCCTTGGTGTAATTCACTCTCCTCTCCAGGGGCAGCCCGAACACAAACTCGATCTCGTAGCCATGCATGACCCCCATCCACTCTGGCCAGGGCAGCTTGGAGGAGCGATGCTCAAAGAAATAAAAGAAGACGTGGTGGCCCAGCTGGGCGAAGCTGGTGCTGAACTCCACCACGGGACAGATGATCTGGTAGTCCCCGATAACGTCATCGATTGCATCCCGGTAGTGCTCCGGCTTTCCCAAGTTTTCCCAGTCCGTGTAATGGAAGATGATTGACTCTATGGCAAGCTTGCTCGCTCTTGGGAAGGCCAGAGTTAAAGCTGCCTCAAACTGGGTTTTATTGATCAAGCCATCGCTATCCTTGTCGAGGCCAGGGGCTCCATATGTCAGAAATGATAACCCTTCATCCTTATTAACACCCACCAAGATCTGGGTCTCTTTGAAAAGACCATTCTCCATCAATACTTCTGGCATGTCCGTCAGAAAATCACCGTCCACACTCGGACAGAAATATATTTGTAAAAGAGAACCATAAGGAACAGCAAAAATTTCATTTTCCACTATTTCCTTTGGATCCTTTTCTTGGAGGCAGAAAATGAGCTCTGACTCGTTGCTGGTGGGACACTGGAGCTGTTTGGCCAATGCCACTGCTCTGTTCCTGGCCTCAGAAGATGTAATTGCAGCCCAGGGGGCATTGGCAGACCCACTCTCCAGGATGGCCCGGGTGAATAAAGGGTGGCTTTCAGGAGAAAGGAGGTGATAGGTGACAGAGGCCGAGCCAGCGCTCTCTCCAAACAGAGTCACGCTTTTGGGATTGCCTCCAAAGGCTGCTATGTTCTCCTGGACCCACTGAAGTGCCAACCTCTGATCAAATAAACCTGCATTTCCAGGAGCCTTCTGGTTTCCGGGCAAGGACAGAAATCCCAATGCACCAGTCCTGTAGTTCATGGAAACCACAACCACTCTTTCCACCCTGGCCAGAAACTTCCCATCGTAGACAGGCAGGGAAGTGGACCCGGACTCGAAGCCACCACCATAAATCCATACCATGACAGTGGCGTTCTTGGGCTTGGGAGAAGGAATCCACACATTCAGGTACAAACAGTCCTCACTTAGGTTGGTTTTTGGGTTCCACATCTCTGAGCCAGCAAAGCCTGGGTAAGTTGTATCTATGGGCTGGTAACAGGAGTTTGCATGTTTGGTGGCGTCCCAAACATCTGCCCATTTCTCCCGAGGTTCTGGTTTTTGGAATCTCAGCTTCCCGATGGGGGGCTGCCCATAAGGGATTCCCAGGAAGGCTGTGACTGTCCCCCCCAGCACCTGCAGGCTGGTCCCTCTGACTTTGCCCTTCTTGGTTGCAATGATATTCTCTTCAGGCACCACCTTCCCGGTGAACACAGACAGGAGAAGAAACCCCATCAGAAACCCGGCGAAGAGACTCAAACCATTTGTCCAAATCATGATGCCTGAAACACAGGATGAAAAATAACTTCAGAATAAGTGTTGCAATATATTAGTACCAAAATCATCTGTTAAATAATGGTGCAGGTCATCCCAGGGGCACTGAAAATGAGAAGGTGTTGCTATGCAAAGCACAGAAGTTTTTAACTGTAAGTTCTTGTTGGTTATTTGTGTTGCAAAAATTGTATTCAGTATTTAGTATTTGGTCAGTACTTCAGAAAAATTCTCTTCCTAAAAACTGTAGAACTGAGGAAGACAAACCAGGAGAGATGAAATCATACAAGCAGGCTCTGACTACTGCAGATGATTTACCCACCAACCAAAACCTAATTGAATAATTTCTTCTAAGAACTTGTTTTTCTAGAGCATCTTAACCAAGTTTACAACTAGCAGAGTCACATGAAGCAGTCATATTTCTGCTATTTAGAATTAATATTAAAATGATAAAACATCAAGGATTTTTGAATATATGAAGATAGTATCTAATAATTTGGGTAAGGTCTGCTCTTTCCTTCCTGAGAAATTTTCCAAGTGATAATCAGTATCACCTTAAAGCTAAGTATATAAATGTTGATTATGTACCACATTTTGGCACCCAACCTTTTCAAATAAAACCTCAGCATCATCCTTAAAACTGAAAATTCACAAAAAGCCCATTTGCATAAATCCATTTCTGTGGTTTACATATCTGAAAATGCTCAACAAAGCTCCCTTCTATTTTTTTTTTTTTTTTGCCTGTTTCACTGTCACACATCGCATGCTTTGTCCTGTCCCTTTAAACAGGCCATTCTTTGTTAATGAGGAGCACTCGTGTCCTTAAAAGGAATGAGGGTAATTTTTCTGGAATATACAGCTGTGGCCTAATTTGAGCTTCTCCTGCTTGTTTGCCTGTTCTTAGAAGGAAAATGCAGCAGAGGGGTGGAAGGGAAGATTTTGTGCTAAGGGGCTCCTGATTTTGAAACAGCATCAAAGGAGCAGGGAGGAATCTTCAGGGACAGTATTTTTAGCATTCATCTAAACAGACAGAAAATAGATAATTTTTAGAAAAGATAAACATTTATGGTTGTTGTGTTAAAATAGATGAGGTGGCAAATGGGGGCGGTAGACTTCAGAGTTGGTCTTGCACTTCACCAAGAATTCAGCTTGACTGAGAGAAACCTGCAATTGTCCCATTTTTGGTTAAATATTCGAGATGTGATTTGTCAGTTCATGGGGTCCAGCAGCTCCCAAGGAGTTTGGGCCAGCACAACTCGCCTGGGCACAGGCAGGAGGCTCAGTCACACATTCACTGGCTTTTGGCTCCCCTGTCTCCATGCCAGGCATGGAATCAGGGAATATCCTGAGTTTGAAAGGCCCCACAGGGATCATCCAGTGCAGCCCCTGTCCCTGCACAGGCACCCCAACAATCTCTCCCTGGGAATGTACTTCCGGGTCAAACCATGACAGGGGGTAGAACCTTGTCTGAGATCCACCCCAAACGTGCACAGAGACCAAAGCAAGAGCTTGTATTTACCCCAGTATGCTAAAACATTCAAGCCTAAATCACACTGTCTTTGGGCATAACTTATTGGAGAATTGGGCATAACTTACCCAGTTTGCTGAATATTTCCAGCCTGCTAAACCAACACAGACTTGGGGTTATTTTTTTAACAGAATTATTTGGTTTGCTCTGTAAATCTGTGCTTAAAAAATCATGAGTGTTGAGCATCCCAGGGCTCCTCTCAGGCCCTCTGCAAAATCAAACCCAAAATCCTGAAAAGCCACCAGAGCTGGGAGAAGGATAATGATGGATGAGGGATCCAGTTGGGTTTTGGAGCACCCAGTAACACTATGAGATGGGAGAAGCTATTTCTCTAAGTCTGTTGTTGTGACACTGTTACTTCACTGCATTTGATCATGACACAACCACAACAAGGTGGAAATAATAAGGTACTTACAATATTATCATTATGAAGAAAAAATGATGCTAAGAAAAGCAAAAGACTTTAAAGTTCCTCAAGATTAATCCACCTAAATAGTAATTAAAATTAATTCTCCTCCTGCACTTTCCTGTTAATTAAAAAGAGATGGCATAAACAATGTAGCATTGCAAAATATGGAGGCAATAGTTTTAGATCATAATAGCAGTGAGAAAAAAAAACCAAAAAAATCAGTTCTGTTCTTTTGAAATTAGCTCTGGAATTTCAAAGAACAAGTTGGATCAAGCTTCAAAAACACAGAACTTTTGTGCTACTGAATGAGAGGACTCATCTACTCCCAGGTCACTCTGCCAATATTAACAAAAGTAGCAAGTGACAGAGGATTATTATTACACCTTGAATGCCTGGCAAATATTACATTTAATAAGGATTTTAATGCTGCTTTAAACCAAACACAGCAATGTAAAGCAAACCGAGCAAAACAAACATTACTTGATTATCACAATGAGAGTAAAAGGGTCAGAAGATTGCTTTAGCTCACCAACACCAACCCAGCAGAGTTATATCATGCAGTGTATTTGCACATTGTAAAAACCTGCTGCTGTAGTAGTTTCCCCCAGCAAAAGTTAAACAGACTCTACTTTTGCATTCTTATTCAGTGAGGGAACACTATTTATTTCAAAGCCTCTTTCCTCCCCCTTGCAAATCTTTACCCAGCCAAAAAATCTATACACCGGACTACATAATCGCTATTTAAATAGGAAAGATGGTTGAATTAATAAGTGATTTCTAGCTCAGCTTAATTTACTTAGCCCAGGATCCCTTGAATAATGCCAAGGTCTGCTACACACGCTGTTCCATTTGCAGAGCAGAGGCAGCTTCCCCCGGAGAGCAACAAATGGGCAGAGCAGAGCGTTCCCAGAGATCCCAATCCCCGCGCAAATCAAGCCGAACCGCAAATTATCCTGGCAGGCAGAGACGTGCAAAGAGAGAATCACTTACCCTGCTTCTATTACAAGAAACTACAAAGTTTTTAAGAGTGGGGATCTCGGGATCCCTGGGGGAAATGCAGCGGTGCAGCTGCTGCTTTAAGCCCGTAAATTGGCCAGTGTTGACATTATAATCAACTCTTTCTGACATGGAGCTCGCGAGAGTTGGCAGCAGCCACTTGATCTGCCTCCCATCCCACATCTGCTCCCAGAGCAGCCCTGGAAATGCTCCAGGGACAACCCCAGGCTGGGCAAAACCAGGCACAGGGCTAGGCAAACACAGGGATTTGTTCCGTGCGCAGGGCATCTGTTTTATAAGAATAAACAGAAATGTAAATATAATAATTCAAGCCCCTCTTTCATCTTGCTTAGAGCACTCACACCTGTAATTTTCTTTTTTTTCTTTTGCTGTACTCAAACCTCAGATTTTCTTTGTAAATAGGTATTTATTATTGGTTTTAACAGCTGTGGCAGATAAAAGAGGAATGTGCCTGGTCTGGACATGTCATACACCAGCTGCATCACTTGGCTCCTGCTCATCCAGGCTGTGGCACAGATCTGCATTGTTCCCTTCTGATTTTAGGGTTAAAAATGGGACCCGTGTGGTGTCACATGGTGCTTGCTCTCTTTTCTTAAGCCTCAAATAGGAAATCACCCGTGGTGCTGAGCACACCTGATATCCTCCTGTTTCCTGAGGCTCCTGAGCATTGCTCCCACCAGAATTCCATGCTGCAGGTGCAAAGCCAGGCTGAACCACGGCTGGGGGATATGTCCTACAACACAGCATTAAAGTGCAAAAATTCTGCAGGGTACAGGTGAAAACAGAGGGGTGGGGAAAAGAAAAAAATTCCATACACCACCCTTACAAACTTTCTTGTCAAACCCCCTTCCCTGAACCACCCCACGGAAGCAGAAAGCCACTCCTTGGAGCTGGGACTGCTGACCCCTGCAGCGTCTGCTCTCCAGCTCTGCTAGGAAAAAAAAAAAAAAAAAAAAAGGCAATTTTTCCCCCATTTAAGCCTTTTTTTTTTTCTGCTGTCCATATTTGCTTCCCCCTTTAGAGCTGAACACAATTACCTTCCCTGTTTAATAATCAAACTACAGCTCTGTTTCAATTACGCAAAAGCAATATTTGGCAACGCATAGAACAGGAATAAAGCAGAAATAAAAAGTTAAGGATGAAGTTTATAGACCTTAATATGGAGATTACAAGTGGGGTTTTTAAAGCCAGCATGGGAATTAGTGTTTTTACAGATGAAAGTTCAAGAAAGAAGGATTATTTAATTTCTCCTGGTAATTTTACCTCGTCCTTTAGGATCAGACCTTCCGCAGGTATTTTGCATGAATATGTTCACTGGAGAGAATATGTCCCACTCTAAACCTAAACCACCATGGCAGGGGTTGGTACTGGCTGATTTTTAGGATCCCTTCAACCCATGCCTTTTGAGAATTCCATAATTCTGTGAAAAATCCCCAAACTTTCAGCACAGAACTGTCCAATACAGTGGGATTTCAGAATACTTAACCAAGATTGTTAACTCAGCAGTGTAATAGACATACTTATTAATAAAATAGTGATATAATATAATTATATAAGTATTAATATAATTATATAAATTATATAATATAATTATAATAATAAAGAATAATTATAATAATTATAATATTATAATTATTATGGTTATAATTAATAATAATTAATAATTATTATAATTATAAACTTATATAATATACTTATAATAATATATAGTAATAAGAAATAAATTTTTAACAATAAGAATTTTAATAATAATTAGAAAAATAATTAGATTCATCCAGAATTATTTCTGGTGACAACTCTTGCTGATCAGAACCTTTCAAGTGCAGGAAACACTGAATGGTGCTACTCAGACTGAGGCAGTTCTCAGTGTTTCAGCATTTGCTGCCTTTCTCTGCTGCCTCCTCAGCCCATTTGGGGACGTGGCCAGGTGACACACACTTCCTTCATTTCTGTGACATCAGAGGGATGAATCATAACCCCTAAATCTTGTTAGAGGCCACTTTAAAGCAAATTTCAGATGCTTACGACCATGCTTGTGCTCTTAACCTCTTTGCCTTGAGCAGCAGAGAAGCAGCAGGAGACTCAAACACTAAATATGCTGCTTCTGCCTTCATCTGTTTTCAAACCTTGTCCGTGTTTTCCTTCGTTTGCTGTCAGGGCTGTGCCTTCCCCTCCCTGCTCCTCTTCAGAGAGCCCAGGGCACCCGGAGCAGCCTCCTGCTCCGAGGGACTGCTTCACTAAATGCAAAATGTGGAGTTTTCTGACAAGGTGACCCTGGGAAAAGTGAATCCACTGTCTCAGGCTGTTTCCGAGGCACCAGGAAACTCCAAATTCAGCCTTGGGGTTACCTGGATGTCTTCAGGTAACTGTCAGACCTCTCCACTGTTGTCCTTCAGCCTAATGTTCGGCTCTTATGCTGTATTTTTAAAGAAAACTAAGCCAAATTCTATATTTTTTCCCCTTTAATTAAAAAAAATTAACATATAAATTAAAGTTTTACAACTGTGCGCTGTGAGAGGAAACAATTCTTTTAGTTATTACTTAGCTTGCTAAAAATACCTGTGCAAAAATTAGAGATTAAACACATTTAATGCCCTCAGTAATTGTGTGGAGACCCATCATTTTCTCAGTGATCCTATGGGAGAGTGGAAGGAAAGGAGGTGCAAACCAGTGGGTGAAATTTTATTTTTATGTGTGTATATACATATATATATATGCTGTACACCTACATACATATATGTATTTATACTCTTATGGATTTTGCCTTTTAAAAAAAATATCTATATCCATTTATCTAGCGAGGTTTTATGAGGTAATATAATATTTTTATCTAGGGCAAGGTTATTAAAAAAAGCCAAAAAAAATGAAGGTGTATTTTTGTTATTTCATGTGTACATGTGAAATCATTGTCACATTGACATGGAGACTTTGATCAAATGAATATCCAAGTGTCTGAAGAAAGGAAAGCAAAGTTCAGCTCTGGGGAAAATTTATATTTCTTAGTCCAAGAAGCTTAGAGAACAATAGGTATCATATATAAAAATACATAAAAATGTGTACTATAAAAATATAGTATTTTTTAATGATTTAGTTCACAATTAACTGCCCCTCAGCATGTTACCTAAGTATTATTAATAGCCTGTCACACACATTCCATGTTATCACAGGATCATGGAATCACAGAAAAGTTTGGGTTGGAAGGGACCTCAAAACCCACCCAGTTCCACCCCTGCCATGGCAGGGACACCTTCCACTGTCCCAGGCTGCTCCTAGCCCTGTCCTTGGGCACTGCCAGGGCTCCAGGGGCAGCCACAGCTTCTCTGGGCACCCTGTGCCAGGGCCTGCCCACCCTCACAGGGAACATCTCCATACCAATATCCCACCTAAACCTCCTCTCTCTCGGTTTAAAGCCATCCCGCCTTGTCCTGTCACTCTATGCTCTTGTAAATTCTCTTTCCATTGATCTTCAGGACTTAGCAGAGCTGAGAAATCTTTGACAGAGAAAAATATTTGGAAAAATACGTATCTCAGATGTTTCTGCTGGAAAACATGAGCCTCTCTCCCAAGGTGTTCTCTGACCTTGCACATGAAGAGTCCCATTCACCAGATTTGGTCCTGCCCTTCTAAGCCATCCACAGCTCAAAAACAGCAGCTGGGCTCCTGCCAGGATAACTGGGCTGAAAATCTTTGCAGGTGTCACCTCAAAGTAAAGGATGTCACACACCAAGAGTGGGCATGTCTGAGGAAACATTTACATGCTCACAGTATGTAAAAGTAGGAAATATCCTTATTTTTTTAATGGCTGAGAGGGAAATCAGACAATTATATCCAAACTGACTATATTTGATGTAATTTCTGTGAGGATGTGGGGAGGCTGCTTTAAACCTTGGAAAACTCCCCTGGGAGGGCTCAGCTCTCTCTCTGATCCCTGGCTGGCCGAGCATCTGTGTGACCTTGGCTCGAACCTCTGAGCAAACCACCCCGTCGTGAGAAAAAGCTGTGAGGAAAACAGGCAAACCCCAGCTCTACAAGCTCCAAAAGGTCAAACTGCAGACAGGGGGAAGATTGCTGAGAAGGGGACAGTTAGCAGCTCAAGGACTCGCAGGGAAACACATCAAAGCTGCGAGCTGTGAAATTTTCAGGTTGAAAAAAAGCCCACAGAAGGTGGGAGCTCAGCAGCAGCAGCAACAGCAAGGAATTACTGATGCTCAGTTCTGGGGCTCACAGCCATGTTATTCTACTGTGAGTATTAGGAAATAAATAATTGCCTTGTCCTTCGAGCATATCCTGCTTGCAGAGCATCTTTTCATGCCCAAACACAGTGACCCCGAAGGGTTACACCTCTCAACCATTCTGTGTTTCTTTTTCCAAATCTCACCCTTGTTAGGAGACTGCCCACCTGTATATCCATGGGTTTAAACCAGGGACACCCTAAATAAACCTGGACAGGGATGAAGTGTTGCTGCAGATGATTGTAGCTGATGGTCAAACCCATCTGAAATTCTGCTATCATTCTGCTTATTCCTCACCCCAGAGGGGTTACAGGGCCAGCAGAAGTGCCCAACAATAGATCTGAGGGGTAATTTGATAATATCAGGAAAAGTGTTTCAGATACACATCATGAAAATGGGTACCAATTTATTAAGTATACAGAAGACACTAACACTCATGTAAGCCATTAAACATTATTATATTTTCCCCTTATTGGTTCAATTATGATCTGCTGTACCTATCTCCTTATTACTCTAATTATAGATCAGTATAATTTCCTCTTTATTAGCACAATTATGGTCTGTACTAGTATAAATATCTTGGAGAAATCAGAGCCACTGAGAAAATACAGCCAG